CAACAGGACACTTCCCAGCTAACATGAATCCCGGGGGGAGGGTGTTAACCTCCCCCACGCCATACTCTATAAGACCCCGGGCGGAGGGACCCGTCCGGTGTCGCCATCCCCGGGGCCGCCGATATGGGCTTCCCGAGACCCCGCTCGGTCCACCCACGGCTCCCGACACCTTCGGACCCATTCCGCTACAGGAATCCCAAGGGTCCCCACGCAGACTGGACAAGAAGATGCCGACACTGGTAAGGGAGGTTCGTCGGAGGCATGATCCGGCACGCCCCGAACTTCTCCACCTCAACCCCCACGCGCCCCAGAAGGACCCCGTGATCCTAGTGGGGATGGTCCGACCACATTAGGTCGGCCCGTCCTGAGGGGAATCATGGCCTCTCCGGGGGCCAGGGTCAGCTCACGCCCCGGCCTCCCACATTCGCCGCCTCCATGAGGCGCCCCTCGCCGCCCCCGACCATTCATACCCCCACGCAGGGACGTACTCCGGCGCAAGGGGCATCCCCACGCCCACATCCACCTTGCCGAGACCGGGTCACTTTCCCGGACTCGCTCGGCGGCCTCCTTCTGCGACGTAACCTCCTCGCAAAAGGAGGCCGCCGCCTTCCACGACCTCTCGCTCGAGACCGTGTGGTCGACCAAAGCCGCGAGTGAGAGGTCCCACCCACCCACTGCGAGTCTTAGGGCACGGCGCGGCGCGGCCCATGTCGGACACTCCTCGAGTGTATGCCACGACGTGTCCACCTCCTCGCCGCAGTGATGACACTGCGGTGTCGACTCCCACCTCATCCAGTGCAGGTACTTTCCGAACCACTCATGCCTTGAGAGCGTCTGCGTGAGGCGGAGGTCAACCTTCCCCGCATCCTGCACCATGTATCAAATATGGGCAGAATGGCCCGATAGAGCAAGCTCTTGCTTCCACCGGGCCAGCGTGTCCCTCCGGGACTGGCGCTTCTGGCACTCGACCTCACGTACCTCCTCAGCCGCGAGTTCCACCCCCGGAAGGCGGCGGGCGGAGCAGGCGATCGTGAACATCGCCGCCTGCTCAACCGCCGTCAGATGGAAGGGCGGAATCACGGCAAGGAGACCCGCCGCCTCGGCAGAGATGGTACGGTATCCCCGTATGGCCCGCAGGGCGAGCCGGCGCCGCACTCTTTCGAAGAGTGCCTGGTTGCGCCGGCTGCCCTTGAGCAAGCGATGCCACACGGGGGCCTCATAAAGGGCTATCGCCGCATATAAGCGGCGAACCCGATATTGGGCAGCAACCGCGCTAACGCGGCCGCTGTCCCTTCCATTCTGGGGGCCAGGAGGTCAAAGTGCTCCTTGAAACGCCAGCGGCCGTTAACGATCAGGCCAGGGTACTTCATGGTGGGCCTGATGTTGACGAAGGTATCCACGACGCGAATCCGGAGGCCCGATCGCAGGGCGGCCACCGCGCCCGAGACAATCCGTAAAGCCAGATTGCCTCGGTCTTCGCAGCAGCCACGGTCAGACCCGTCCTCCGGATTCGCCCGACAACGCAGTCTAGGGTGCACTCAGCAAGGTGCCTGGCTCTCCTCCAGTCATCCCCCTCGGCATATACCAGGGTGTCATCCGCATAGCAGATGACACCCGCGTGCGGGGGGAGGACGACCCGCAGCACCGCAGTAGTATAGCTAGGCCGGTTCTAAGCCATGGGGCTCCGAGGGGGGAGTGGCGGATGGGGGAACCGAGGGCGAGGGGGGCGTGGGGAGGGAGGTCCGATGGTCGAGGGGGGCGAGGGGAGGATCGCGCGTGGTGGGGGGTCGGTAATTAGTACCAACGGTCGGTAAGATAGAATATAATTAATACCTATGGCCGTTAATTAGAACCAATGGTAGAGGGGGGCACTTCCGGTCGGTAATTACCAGAGATCGGTAAAGAAGAAAAACGCAAGTTTTACATATAGCGAAATAAGCATGTAAGGGAGGGGGAAACCGTCCTTTTCGCGCGCAGAAGTGGGGGTGTTTTTTCGGGGCCCCGCGGTGGGCTTCAGACTCCTCTCTCTTTTGCGCCCGAGTATTTACTTCCTCGCACCTATGCCCCGGTTACACGTGCAACATGTAAGATTAGAAAAGATGAGGTAATTATCATTGGTAATTATCAGTGATCGTTAAAAAAGAAGAAGAAGAAGAAGAGCATCAATTGTTCGACGTTTGGTAAGTATTATTGCTATCAGAGATCGGTAAAGAAGAAAAACGCAAATTTTACCTGTAATGATATAAGCGCTTAAGGGAGGGAGAAACCGTCCTCTTCGTCTTCGCGGGAGGTAAGCGTGCACGCTGTAAGGGAGGGGAAATCGTTGTCTTCGCGCGCAAAAGTGGGGGTGCCGTTGCGGGCCAACAGGTTCCCTCTCTCTCGCGCCCAACTATTTTCTTCCTCGCACTTATGCTCGTGTACACGCGCGACATATAATATTACATTACAATCTTTGACGCAGCCATCGGTAGGAACGTCTAGCGATGATGGCCTCGAGCAAAAGATCCAAAAACGCAAAGTTTGCAAATTACAAGCAGGCAGCAAATCTTTTATTTGCGCGATAAAATTTCTCAAGAACTAAATATTAAAAAAACGGAAGAGGTGATATCATTCTTTGGCGATGAGAATACTGGAGATAAGGGAGATGGGCATTGATTTTCACAAACATATGTTCGCAAATATTCTGTTTATTATAAACATATGAAAATAAAAAATGATAAATATAAAACTATATATAAAAATGATTGATATAAGAAATACATTTAAAGAACTATATAAAACATTATATAAAAAATGATATAAAAAACTATTAATAATCTAGTATTTTTTAAAAATTTCTGCAATACTTTCACACATCGATAACGCCAGGAAATGGTCACTACTGTATATATATATTTTCACTTACTTTCGTTTTATAAATTAAAACACTCACAAATAACTTTTCAGTGACACTGTCGGACTGCGAATGCCTTTGAAAACGTTACAGCGAAAGATCCAATCCAGCGAGAAACAAAAACTGTTGAGTAGGCATCAGCATTTGTCGGGGAGGCTGACAAACATTACACTGGATGGGAATATGATATGGAAGAAAATGTGCTAGAAAGAACGATGCATATATCCAAGATATTTTTTATTGATAACTGTATTCCATCTAAACCTATTTTTTTTTTTCGTACGTGAGGAAATGCGTTCACGCACGCCCTCTCATAAGGAAGGGGTAGTGTGGGACTCGCCCCTTGATTTGATATCAAGAGGAATACCCACTAAAACCTCACGGTGGCCGGCCACGGCGCATTGGGGAGGGGCACCGGGATCTCTTACGAAGGCTACTGGTGCCCCCCGCGCCTCTCCCCCCCCAACGAAGGGAGGAGTGCCATCTCCGGTGGGGAGTGAGTACCTCCCCACCTGACCGCGGATGCCACAGCCCGCGGTCTCACCTGTCCCTTTTAGTCGCCTTTCACGACAAGCAGGGATTACTATGGGCGTATTCTGTTCCCCGACCCACAAGGAAATATGCCGCTATGGGGCTAACGGCCCCCCTCGACGCAAGCGCCGGGCATGTTCCAAAGGAGTGGAGGGGGGTGGGGCGTCGGGTGACGACCCCTCTTCCCCATGCCCGGCGGCCCTGCTGGCAGTCGGCGAGCCCAAAGCTTGAGCTCGCCGGCTACGTGAGCAGGGCCGTCCTACGCGGCAGACTGCCAGGAGGAGGTGAGGGTTTACGGGGTGGGACAGGTCCTCCCTGCGGCAGGGGCGGCAGCTAGCCGCCGTCGCCTGGCCGGCCTCAACCTCCTCCTCTCTATGCGAGCGGGATCGGTGCGCTAGTCTCGCAGAAGGAGGACACTGCGTTCCAGGACCTCTCGCTCTCGACCATGGCCGAAACGACGGCCGGGAGCGAGAGGTCCCCTCCAATAGCTAGGCGGAGTGCCCGCCTCTCTCGCGAGAAGGCCGGGTACTCCTCCAGCAAGTGCTGCGCGGAGTCCAGCTTCGCGCCGCACTGGTGGCACGCGGGCGACAACTCCGCCCCCACCTTGTGCAGGTACTCACCGAAACAACTATGTCCGGTGAGCACCGGTGTCGGGGGTTCAGCCGAGCATCGAAGCTCGGCAGGACCGCCGCTACCGTCCTCTTTCGGGCTTCCACTTTTGGCGCCGGTAGGCTTCGACCGCCTCGTCCTGCGGATCGCCGCCGCTCCGGCGGAGATCTTGCACACGCCGATACACGTCGGCGTGTGCCTCCGCCTGGAAATCAAAGGGGACGACCCTCGCTAGGACGGCCGCCGCCTCGTGGGAGATCGTGCGATACCCGCACGCGATCCTGATGGCCATATGCCGCTTCACGCGGCGCAGCAGGTGCCGTCCACGACGGCAGGTCACCCGGTCGCGTGCCCATACGGGTGACTCGTATAGGGCCATGGATCGCACGACCCCCAGGTAGAGGCGGCGGACCCTCTCTTCCGGCCCCCCGAGATTGGGCAGGAGACGATCCAACAGCATACTCCCGTCGGACAGGCCCCTCGACAGGCGGGCAGCAAGCACACGCTCGAAGAGCTTACCCGCCTCGTCGAGGAGGCAGATCGGCCGATACGCGGAGGGCGAATCCGCGGGCTTTCCCTTTTTCGGGATAAGAACCATCCGGACCTGCTTCCAGGCCAGCGGAATCTCCCCGACTCTAGGCAGCCGTCGAACAGCCGCCTGAGCCGGGGACCCAGGACGCGCAGCGCCAAAGCGAGCGCCCGACCAGGGATGCCGTCGGGCCCTGGTGCCGTATTCCTGGCCACCATTCGCCCGACGGCCATCCCGAGCTCCCCCTCGGAGACCCCCAGGCCGGCGGACCAGTTACTGGTCTCCGCCGGCAGAAGCGGCCGCGGACTCTCCTCTGGATCTACCGGAAAGAGGGTATCCACGACACGCTCCAGAACGGGGGGGGGGGGGGGGGGAGGGCCCCCGGACCAGGGGGGGGGGCCGGGCGCAAGCGGCCCAGCGCAATGCGGTAGGCTGCCCTCATGGATCCTTGTCCAAAGTCCCGAGAAGCTCTCCCCAGGCGCTCGCCTTGGCCCTCCTGATGGTGCGCTGGAGGTCCACCGTAGCCTCTCGGTAGACCTCACACAGCGCCGCCTCCCTCGCCGGGTCGCGGCTCCGTCTCCGGCGGGCCCTCGTGAAGCGACGTCGCGCCGCGTTGCATGTAGCACGCAGCGCGGCAATCTCATCGCTCCACCAGTAAGCGGCCCGCCTCGGGAGCTTCCTGGCTCGGGGCATGGCGGCGTCGCACGCCGACGTCGATGACTCCCGAAACCAGCCAGCTTCCCGATCGACGTCCGCGACCGGTCCAGCCGGGGCTCCTGGCCAGGACGCGGCGAGGGTGGCCGCCATCAGGGCGTCCTTCTCCAAGCGCTTCAGCGCCCATCTGCGCGGCGGTCGGCCCGGCGCGGGTCCGCGAGCGGGATGGTACTGAGGGGCAGCGGAGACATTAATAAGGATGTAGAGGTGGTCACTGAGGGACTCCACCTCCTCCGCTACCCTCCATCCCGACACGAGACGCGCGGCGGCAGGCGTCGTCCACGACAAGTCGACGATCGACTCGCCCTGCCACCGCACGCACGTGCTCACGGACCCCCGGTTACGCAGCCGGATGTCCGCGCTCGCCGCCCACTCCAGCACCGCCCGACCTCTCGCGTCCGTTGCTGGGCCACCCCACGCCGTGGACTTGGCGTTGAAGTCGCCCAGCACGAGCGCTCGAGCTACTGGAGAGCGGGACAATGCGTCCCGGACCCCGTCCAGCAGTCACTCGAACGCCGCTAGGAGAGCACTCGGAGGGGCGTAGATCCCGATCAGGGCCAGGCCGCCGCACTCCGCCCCGACGAACCCTTCGCCGCGGGCGAACACGCGGAGGGCCGTGGTGTCGCCGCCCACTATCACCACGGAGCCCAACGCGTCGGCCACCCAGTTCGGGCGGTCGACGACGCGGTATGGCTCCGCTGCGACCACCAACCCCACACCTAACTCGGCCAGGCAGTGGACAAATAAGTCCTGCGCCCTGGCCGAGTGGTTGAGGTTAGCTTGGAGGATCCGGACCGGGGGCATGAACTTTAGGCCATGTCCATG